CTTCTGTTTCATCGAATCCAAGCAATTTTCTTTCCAGTTCCCCAACAAATCATAATTCTATATACGATATGGAAGATGGAACACCTAAGATCATACTCCGTCCCTCTCCTCTGAATAACACATTACATCAACTATCCACTCTCAGCCATTCCAACCACACACTCTCTCCATACACTCGCTCCCTTGAGCATTTCACAGTACGTAGTGTTCCCCCACGTTATGCTGGAGGGAATTCTGGCTCGTCCTCGAGCATGGAGCGCCAGCCGGTCAAAGCAAAACGTAAAAGGACCTATCATCTAGGTGGTCAGAAGGCTGGTACACCGACATCCTTACCTTTGCCGCCTCAACCGCCATCTAGTCATTTCGATGACCGAAATCCGTCTTCTTCGAATACAAATGGCGCGGAGTTTGATATCGACGTATCGGACATGGACCGTTACTTTCCCGTGAATGTCGATCAGAAAATTCAGAATCCGCTGTCCGACTCGCAGTCCTCGCAATTTTCTGGCGCTGGTGCCGATCCATTCAGCTCTCCGAACATTCATCCCCATCATTTTCGGCTACGGTCTTCATATATCCATCCAGAATAGATTTTTTTTGGTTCATTTGCATATATTTCGTGCTGATATATCTTACCCTATCTCAATTGTTGTTTTTTTGTATTACTATCATTTGTGGCATTTTCTTTTCTTTCATATTCTGATCATTTGTCACTGCGTATGGAATAGCGGATGAAAGGCATCCAAGGAGTTGACCTCAAAGTCCTGTTGGGGAAACGGCCAGCCAAAAATGAATTTCATGGTGGTCGTTAGTAGTTTAATCAGGTCAGTTGACCATTAATACCTACATCCACTGCAGATGGAAGCATTCCTATGAATTATTCAACAAAATCAACAGTTGGATAGTACTTACCGTGCATGCTGGGAAGCCTGCTTGTGTTCTGCCTTGCAACTGCGGCCTGACGCAGCTCACGGAAGTCATTATTGAGGTAAGTTTTAGTTAGCCTTGTTGCTGCAGGTGAGCGCAGCATTGCCGCTGGTGGTGATATTACTAGTCCAAGAACATCCGGAACACTAGTTCTAGATGGTGTCGATGGCGGCACAATTGATTGGAAAGGAGAGGGAGAAAGGATATCTTGAAGCTCTTGCAATGAAAGCCGTAGGGTATCTGGTATAATCATGTTTTCTGGAATGAAAGTTTCATCCTCGTCGACCGTGAGGGTGGTGCGGAGTTTGTTAAGTGTATCTAGTCGGTCTTTAGGAAGCGACGCCGAAATGATATCGTATAATTTAGCCAGAGTATCAGATTTAATACCATAGAGGACAGTCAGCTTCTTTTCTGGAGGTTGTGTAGTTAGCCATGCCATAAGTGATAGTATCACGCTGCTTATTTCGGGAGACAGATTGACGTCGGACGCGGACGCTTCAATGACACCCAATGCCTGTCCGATATTTAGACGAAGCATGGCGAAATCGAGGTTCTTCGGGGATAGAGTATTCAACACAGCAACAGCTTTGAGCCATAACTGAGAATCGAGGTCTGTCGCTGATTTATCTCCTAGTTGAATTGTCCTTAGGAAAAGAACTACCAAGGTAAGTCTGAAACTGTTGTCCTCAAAGCGGTCGCAGTGGAGCAAGAGAGTTTGAACAACGGCGTCTAGATGATAAGACAACACCCGAGCGATCGACAGATCTGAAAGGGACGTCGTTAAACTGTTAAATGCCTCGGGGACGCTCTTCAACGTCCGGAGACACCATTCGAGCATGTCAGAACCTGTTTGTAGCATATGCCCTAGGAGCCACAGATGTAGTCCAATCTGATACAGCAAGACAACCGTTTGAATATTTGTGTCTTCCTGGGAGTTATCGAGTTCAGTGGAAGACAGAAGTGTTTTTGTGCAGCGCTCAAGAAGCTTCATCTCTTCGCTGAACAACCATTCCGCCATCCCTATCAAGTTCTGACTGTCGAGCCTCACCAGGCGGCGAAGTAAGTGGACTTTACTTTCAACATCGAGTTGACGGAAAAACTCCTGCGTCTCGTCAAGGATATTTGGAAGCACCTGGAACACCCACTGCTCTTCCTGATTTTCTTTTGCTTGCTCACTTTCAGACATGGCATCTCTAGCATTCGCACCAGAATCCGAATCGGGCAAGATATAGTCGATAAGAGCAAACATCTGTAAAATATGATATGCTGGATCCCTCTTGGACTTCCCTACCCCATGCTTGAGTAGTACGCTCATCACGATTTCTGCACCGCTTTTACCTCCCTGGGGCTCAACAACGACGCCTCCTGCGCCAAAGTTTGACGCTGTACGAACAAACTCCAGACAGGCTTGACGAGTATGTTGTGCAGAGACACAAGCAGGTGTGCCTTGTGCATATATGGTGTCAGCGGCATCGGTACATGCAAAGACGTCTGCAACGCTAAGGACAAGGGAGCGCAACGTGTAGGCAGATAGTGAGAAGGACAACGGTTCCGAGCTCGAAGACGATGATGGTTCTAGGACAATGGTCAAGCGAGTCAGAAGTCCGAGTATGTCCTCCGCTAGTTGAAAAAGCTGAGAGAGAACCTGCGGAAGGGACATTGCTGTCGAAGAATGAAGCTGTGGTTGGGTTTCATGTTGGACAGGGAACGGTGAGGTTATACGGAAGTACCCATTTACATCTTGTGCAATTTCTGCTAAGAGCTCTGCCAGACGAGGAATCAACGCTGTTGATTGTTCATCCCAAATCGTCTGTAAAACATTCCAATCCACTTTCTGGGGATCCTCTGCTAATTCTCTTTCGACTAGCGCGATGCTCACGCGGAGGGTCCTCAAGCGTCTGTAAGATAGTGGATGAGTATTAGGCAAAGTGAGTTCCTCGATAGCGGCCGGTAGACCGTCTTCGACGACCAAGGCGATCTTCCGCATGGAGAGTCGGTCGTTCTCGTATATGTGGGATAAAGGTTGCTTGAGCGAGAGAATGGTCTGGACGAGATCGTCATTGAGAGCAGCATAAGGTTCGTCCAGGAGCTCAGAAAGGATTTGTTCGCCGAATATGCCAGATTTACGGGGTGTATCGTTAGTGGTTATCCATTTCAAACGGAGTGTGAATTGACGAAGGAGAAGAAGGTAGTTCACAATCTTTAGACATGTACTTATGAGATGTGCCTTGAAGGTAAACATATGATTGCGTACCTCTCGATATTCTCCCGTACCCTGCCAAAGTCTCAACACCCCCAAAGTTCTCTCCCTACAAACATCATCACCCAAGCTATCTGACCATGCCCATACCGACAACACACTTGCTACACCAATGAAGGCTCTGACAAACGCAATGAACTCGTCGTGAGATACAGCTCCCCTAGCGCTCATCGAATCATTCACTCCATTCCTCACAAAGAGCTTCGGATAAGCTCCACTAGAATTTGGAACGATCGGATTTTCCGCAAGCTTGGTGACCAAATCAGTATGCCCTGTCATGCTGGCCAACCAAATGCCCAAGCTCTGCTCTCCGGTGCCGATGTCTCGCAGAAACGCAGTTGCAGCTGCGAAATCAGCTTGAGTATTTGATAACGCGTCTTCGAAGACCTCCCAGGCGAGGAGACGCGTAGTTAAGCGCTCGGCTGCTTGTTTAGCTGTCTTTGTTTGGGTAACGCTGTTGGACGGTGATAGGAAGTCTGTGAGAACGTCTAGGAAATATACGGTATGCAAGTAACGCGCGATATCGGCGTTGGCGGAGGCATCGAGTAGGTGCAAGAGTGTGTCTTCATCGAGTGACCGTACGTCAAATACGGTATCGATTTCGATATTTTGCTGTCGTTGTCGAGCATGTCTCAGCATTTATTTCATTTTGAGTCAACGAATATATGCTCACACAGAGAGCCAGCACTAGTGAAGGTCGTTGGGACGCAGAGAGCTTGAACAACTTCGCGATATGAAAAGCTTGACTTTTGCTTTTGGAGTCAATATGGTCTGCCACGGCCCGAGCAAATCTTGTCAACATGTCTTCTGTCACATCGTCAGAGATTGGTTTGGACATTGCATCCAATACCACCTCGATGTCAAAATGACTTTCATCTTCATCTTCGCCACCGTTCACAGTCTCGTCGTCCTCTTCCAACTTCAAACTGGTTTGAAAGATATCTCTGTCGATGTCCACAAACAGGTAGGGAAAATCTGGATCGTCCCAGTCGTCATTGTCTGGTTTGAGGCAGAACATGAGTCTGGATATAAGTGAGAACGGAGGTGGCACTTCTAGCAGGGAAAGAAGATTCCTCGCGAGAAACGTCGGATCAGAGGAGTTTGCTGGGTCAATAGACGCGGATATTGTTCGCGTTTCCATTGAGAGGATCGACTTTGACACTGAGCTGGCTATTTCTTCCGCAGAAAGAGGTGGAATGATAGATTCTGACACAACTTCGCCATATATTGCAAGCGAAAGAGCGTCGAATTGACCTTTGACTGTCATTAACCGTGTGGCATACTGTGAATTTATTATCAGTAGCAGTCTGAATAGCGTATGAAAGTTAACGGACCTCAGTACCCAAGTCCACAGTAAAATCAACTTGGCCGCCAGCATACGCGATCGTAGAGGGCACTAGTGCGTTGGTTGCCCGCTGCTTCTCTTTCGAGTCAGATGAAGACTGTACTGGTTGAGCATTGAAGTAAACATCCAGAAGGAAAGAGTCCGGCTCAGTTTCACTGCCATTTTTTCAGTACATACGTGAACATTGTACGCTAGAAAACGGCAGAAACAACACACCCAACAATGTCCGGGCATTGATCAAAAGGTTTCGCGCCTGCTGGGAAAACACGAATGGACTTTACTCGTACAAGTTTGGCGAATCGTATTGCAGCGATTCCAGAGGGTCCTTGAGGAACCAAAGTACACCAGTGCAGCAGTTTCATTGAGTGAGTGAACCGAGAATAGGATCGGAAGGCCGGAAGAGCAGAGAGCAAATGTGGTCTGCTGTGGTCAGCCTCTACATATACATGTATTAGCAACAATAATGAAGCCCCCGTTGTCTAATGGTTATGACGTCAGACTTCTATGTTTGTGAATCTGGAGGTTGCGGGTTCGAGTCCCGCCGGGGGTTATCTGCCTCGAAGTTTTATTCCACATACGTTATGTTCTCGTCAGTTCATACTAACAGTCAATGTTCAATTTTGGTTATTTTTCTTCTAAAGTTGTTTTCTTTTTTTTTAAGTTCGTTACTGGGAGATAAGTAGTGCTAACAACGAGCGAAGGTCAATGCTTTAGTGAGAGAATAGTGTATCGATGCAGTGATATCCAAATAAGTTTTGTTTACTATGCCCAGAAAAAATCTAAACGCAGGATAAAAATTCCGATGGGTCACCTCAAGGTGACCGTCTTTAATGAACGGGAAGAGATACATAAGTAACCTCTCCGGCATGACGGAGTGCGTGATAGAATTCCAAGAGAAGGCAAGGGTATTGCCAGCTACCGGCGAGACATTAACCTGTAAGTCGTATACCCTCCGATGACCGCAAAAGCGGCAAGGCATGCGATGATAGATACGAACCACGCATACCCTGAAACGTCCTGCCCAGGTACGTGTACGTTCATACCCCATAAACCTAAAGCCCAAAAAGAATGACATTAGATTAAATGCAGCTCTACAATTAGCATTAAAGAGCACAAAACACAAACAGAACGAGGAGTTAGAAGGTGATAAAGATGCTTACCGGTGACTAGATTCATAGGAATGAGGACCGTACCCAACGCGGTAAGCTTGCTCAAGACATCGTTGATTTGGTTGTTCGCTTCGGTCATCTCAATGGATATCTGAGCGAGGTAGTTCGAGTGCGACCTGGAGAGAATTTTCTCATAATGGTTCAGCGACTGGGTCATGGTGATCAAATGGTCCTGATAACGAGCGGGAAAGTCAGCCTTTCCTATGAAAAGATGAAAGTAGGCAAGCTTACCTGGATATCTGAGAGATATAGACCCTGGAAAACTAGCCATTCAGCTGAACTCATGCAAACAGAGAAATTATTCGCACAATATCACTCGTCGGAGCAACCTGCCAGTTCTCATTACACCTCTTTGCTAAACCTTTCACCACATCCGCTTTATTACCCATCAGGCGCAACAGTCCCATAACTTTCTTCCTACATGTCCCAATTCGTCTCAACATGTCGCTTTGCTCAGTGCTGTCTTTTAAGATTAACACTAGCTCGTCAATAGAGTCAACCTCGTATTCGATGCTTTGAATGAGAGGTCCAAAAGCGTCGGTGATGTCGTCAATGAGAGCGTAAGAGATCCAATCAGATGTGACGGATATATAATCTTTCAGCTGCTTTATTCGCCTTCGAACAGAGGACGGATGAGGTGTCGGGCGGAAGTGAAACTGAGCGAAACCTTAGGGTGTAGAAAAGTGGGATGCAGATAGAAAAATGCTTACGGATAACGTGCCCTCTCTAAAAACAATAATGTACATATTCAAAGGTTCCAGATATGTGGGACTGTATGAATCTTGATCGAAGCTTCGGAAACACACAAGATAATAGTTTCTGAAAAGCTCTATCTTCTCGCGCGTTTCCTCCATTTGAATGTCTTCAGTAGTAAGCGGGTGAATTCTAAAGACCTGTTCAAGTAGTTATGACATGAAACCATAATTCTTTGACATTAGAAGCCCACCTTGCTCAACATCTTCATCTCCTCGTCAGTCGGGCTGAGTACATCCAACCACCATGTGAACGATTCTGGATCTTCACCTTCGTAGCTTGAAAATCCTAGACCACCGCCAAAGCCCGGTCTACTCCTATACGAGGGCTTTACATTTCCAGGGAAATAACCTTTCGGCCCTGCACTCAGTGGTCTCTTGTCTTTTGTGTTAGGATCATTCTGATCTCGATTGACACCTGCAAAGAGATCCTCAAACGTCTGTCCTTCTACAGGAATCTCAGAGAGACTACGAGCATGTATAGTAGAGGAAAGAGCATTAGAGTAAAATGAAAACCGGTAAGGTCGATCATGTCCTGTGTTGAGGCCGGGTACTGAAGGATATTGCGAGGCGGGAACAGTAGCTGGACGGAATAAAGAAGGCGAGGCATTGTCGAATGGAGGTGGGTCATTTATGTTCGAAGCACCAATAGCACTGGCGTTCCCGCCAGGCCCGAGAGAGAAGGGAATTCGATTTGGGCCTGAGGAACCGCCATGTGTGTTTTCAAATAGAGCAAGCTTCCCCCCGATCCCTTTGCGGTGAGAACGCGGATGTGGGTTGCTTTGACTAAGTTTACGCTGTCGGATTGCGGAGGCAGCTGCTGTGTCGGAAAGCGCGGAGTCAGCAGTTTCACTGCTCGTGACAGGAACATCAACAGATGCAGGACCGGAAGTATCTGCTGATGATGGTTGTGGTTGTGGTGCAGGAGGCGTTTGTTTCGATGAAAATACATCGTCTGTGAATAGTTTGTTTCTGAGGGGAGGGAGGCTGAATTTCGGAGTATGGGTTGAGGAAGATGTGATACCCAAAGCAAGCCTTTCAGAAGCGGCAAAAGCTTCCATCGATGCGAAGTTGAAAGCAGACTGTGACATGTTTGCTTGGTAGGTTGGAAGTATTCCAAATGCAGATGTAGATTGATCGTCTCGTTGAGCAGATGAATGCACAGCACCGTTTAATGAAACGAGTAAGCTGGGATCATGGGATTGAGGTAAAAGATCTCGAAGGTCAACGGGTGAAGGCTGCCGCTTGGTTGTGATAGACTCTAAGTCGTCTATTTCCTCTACAGAAGGGCCTTGAGCGATATCTATGTCACGCTGCTCTCGAGGTGAAATTCCTGCCTGAGCGACATTATCCCGGCTGTCTGTTGGCATTTCCTGGTGTAGAGCTATTGGAGAGGAGATGATAGTGTCCCTACGAGCTTTGGAAAGCTGCATTGCCATGTCCATATCCAGAGTTTGCTGGCGTTCTCTGACCTGAGGATCATTTGGATCGAATGACCTTGCTAATGTAGGTGAAAGTCGAGGACGATTGTCGGAATCATCAACGCTGATGCTGGAGCTGCCTTTTCGACGGACAGGTGAGCCTCCTCGGGTTGAAACTGGCGAGCTGGACAGTACTCCACCGCCCGACATGACTGCTCAAAGGAGGGAAAGATAAGATAAGATTTGAAAAACTCCAATGAGCGCTAAATTTTCCGTTATGTCTCTTAATGAATTGATACATACCACGCTTTGGATTGGGGATACTTAAGCATGAGCCTCGATGGTTCGAATTGTGAACTGAATTTGTCACCATAGATATCTTTGATATCATACGCTCGATTCTAATTAAAAGACTCGATAAAAGATCCCATTAACAACTCTCAACGGCTTCGAGGTGCTTCGCGGGCAAATATGCCTCTTCTCGAACATTTTATTGGAAAGTAGATCGTAAATCAGGTGTGTCATAGTGTCCGAGATACCATCTCGAATATACGGACGACACAAGATCCTGGTCGACGAAATACCCAAAGCCATTGAACGTCAGATCAAGGCTCTGCAGTTTACGAACCAGAATAGAAGAATTGAAATTCGTACGACGGAAGGCGTGTAGACTCTGAACTAGTGTTGGACTCAGTGGACTTTTATCGATCGGAACGTCAAAATCATCGACGGTCAAATGAAAAGGGATCTAAGACGAAGGAGGATATCGATGAGATCCAAGTCCGACATCGCAATAGATGTGATTGAAAGAGTTGTGAGTAGACAAGATGAGCGAAGGAAGAAATTTTGTATGGTTGTTCGCGGCCAGCTGTGCTTGTATTTTCCTCTGTCATATGAGAATATAGGGATAGCGACCTCAATACCGCAAATTTCAAAGACGCTGGTAACTCATCTATGAAGCACTCGGACCTTGCTTGGGAAATAGTGATCTAACACTAGAAGCTTGCATGGGAAATATTGTCCGTTTGATAGACCCGGATTCATTGATTGAATTGTTTGCTGAACATTCTACAAAAACATTTCATTTCCTCAGAAAACAAGCATATGTCGAAGGAAATTAGTTGTCTCCATGGGAGTCTGGACATGTGAAGCGCATCCAAACAGGCATCCACTAGGAAAAAAGACTCGATGTTGTGAGTGGAAACGGGCACAGTCCACTGAAGATGGAAATATGAGCGGGATCATGAGTGAGTCAAAGTTCAGATAATCTGACCTGCCACATCCATCAACTTGGGATGAAAGCCCGAGTTCAACACTTTGAGTTCTTTCTATTGATCACTAGACCCCCAGCGTAGCACATAAGGTCAAATGACGCGAGGCCAGTTGCGAGTTCTTCGGAATTCCATTCAGTTCAATGAACGTGTTCTCGTTTGCGATTGAGGTACATATCCAATCTAGCAAAGTTCAATCGCCCGTGTCTGCCGATTCTCGAGAAATCGATATATGTGTGACTCCAGAGTTCGAAACAGACCTGGCAAGTTCCCATAAAATTACTGGCCGATACAGGAATGTTATTCAGCTCATTCTAAATGGGCGGACTTGTTGTACACGCGTACCCAAAAATCCGCACAAGTGTTTCTGTGGAAATACGCCGTATAGGAGACATGAGAAAGTGCAGATATATACGCCTTGTATTCGCTCGTCAGTGATTTTGCAAGAACGATGATCCGACCATGTAGCATCACAGTCCTAGATTTCTGTCTCAACCTCTGACTCTTCCGGTGATTTCAAGCTTGAAATCGTAGGCAGCCTGTCCATATCCACGCCGTTCGATGTAGATCTACAAAGTCCAGCCTGAGGTTAGTCCGCAATTGATAAGCAATTTGCCTTTCTTGAGCTGGCGACTGCCACTAGTGACCACCTTTAAAGCTCGATCAGATTAAGTAGTACTTACTGGCCGTGGAGTCCGCCACCTTGAATACTCTGTGCACTGTGTGCAGCACAATATAGTAGCCGGCAAACTTCGATTCAGGGCCGGTTCCCTCGTGTTTTCCTAGACTTCAACGTTCACAAAAATCGTGTTTAGCTCACCCGCACGAAGCTGACTCCCCGAATTTGACCTGTCACTCATTTTGAGCCATTCAAGGATCACGATTCCATCTTGGACGGGTTCACTTGACTCAAGCTGGGGCTGCGATGGTCAGTTCC